AAAATACAAAAATTAGCTGGGTGTGGCAGTGCATGCTTGCAGTGAGGAGACTGAGGTGGGAGAATTGTTTGAGCCTGGGAAGTGGAGGTTGCAATGAGCTGAGATAGTGCCACTGCACCCCAGCCTGGGTGACAGAGTGAGACCCTGTATCAAAAAAAATTTTTAAAAGAGCACAGTATCTGCTGTCACTGGAGAAAAATGCAATGTGCCACAGCACTCTAGCGTTTGCTTGGACACCCAATTCACCCACTGGAACACACATGTCATTTGCACTACTGTTAGAGCCATTCCAAGAGCTAGAGTCAGGTGAGTTTCCAGGCTTTTTTTTTTTGGTCAGCAAACAATCTGGATGGAATGGACATGTTCACTTCAGGGAAAACAGGAAAAAAAAAACCCCACAAGAATGGTAACTGCCAGCTTGTGAGGTGTGGTAACAGCTGCCAGGTGCTTTAATACGTTCTATCATTGGGACCTCATAGGACTACATATTGAGGTTCAGGAGACATGGTTCAGAAACCATTTGGTGGGCAAATGGAGGAGTCAAGATTTGAACCCAATATGTGAGACTCCAAAAGCTGGCACTTATTCCCCATCCCTCTCTACCTCTTGAAAAAGGCTGGCTTCAAGAAAGCCCTGTGGTCAAACACCTTCGGATTTCTAGCCTGTTATGGATGAATGGCTTATAGACCCCTGGAGTTTGGCTCTGTTAAAAAAAAAAAAAAAAAAAATTAACATATGGATTGTATTAAAATATCTAAAAAAATTGATGTTATTCAAATATTTATCCCTTCCTATGAAAGTGTATTCAGTCTTTCATTGGCTCACACATCCCAAGATTATTTTATTTTATTTTATTTTATTTTAACAGAGTCTCACTATGTCACCTAGGCTGGAGTGCAATGGCATGATCTCAGCTCACTGTAACCTCTGCCTGCTGGATTCAAGTGATTCTACTGCCTCAGCCTCTTGAGTAGCTGGGATTACAGGTGCACGACACCATGCCAGGCTAATTTTTGTATTTTTAGTAGAGACAGGGTTTTACCGTGTTGGCCAGACTGCTCTCAAACTCCTGACCTCAGGTCATCCACCTGCCTCAGCCTCCCAAAGTGCTGGGATTATAAGCATGAGCCACCATGCCCGGCCCCAAGTTCCATTTTAAAGCTCCTATTGAGCCTCTATGTGCAAGCAGCCAAGCTAAATGCCAGGTTTACAATAGCCAAAAAAATGGTCATTGTCCTTGAAGCACTTATAGTCTAATGAGAGAATACAAACTTTAAAGTGATCAATTTCATTAGCTAGTTTACAAGTCAAGCATGAGATAAGTAGATGGTACTATACACAGAGGAAGGGCTCCGTGCCTGGCCTGGAATGTCACCAGAGGCTTTCTGTAGAAGGATGTTGAGCAGAGGAAGGGAACTACACACCATGACACAAAAATCATACAGGAGGCCCTTAATCAACAACTGTCGACTGGATAGTGCCCTAGGCAGAGGGGCAGGAGAAAGGGACCAAGAGTGGCTCCAACTATCTGGCTCACAGGGTTGGATGGTGGAGCCACCATCTGAGATAGGACATTGGAGGGGAGAGAATCTTCTGCCCCCTCTCAATCCACAGCCCTGGATAAACGGCAGGGCCACAGGGGAAATATTTAAAATAGGTACTTCACCCTGCCTTTATGGGCCACTCCTCCCACACAGCTGATTGCCCAGGAGAGGACACTTGATTCAAGCTGGGCCCATGAACAAAGCAACACTGAAAGACAGAGTCAGTTGGCTGGGAGGACCTGAGCTGTTTATAGGGAGAATTTCCATTGGAGTTAGTACTAGGGCAAGGCAGTCGTATGCCAGGCAGTTTGAGGGAAGCAGAACAGCCAGAAGTAGTATGATAAATCTGTCCTCGTAGGGAGAAGCAAGGAAATGAGGCCGACTAGACAGGGAAGCAGAATGGAGACAGAGACGACCTGTGAGAAAGGAAGGGACCACTTCTCTGCCTGGCTTTCCAGCGCCTGTTTCTTCATGCTCGGGAACTTACTTGTTCTGCCCTTAGATGCTGGGAAATGCTTTGCTTACAATAAACTCCCGTTGTCTTTACTGTGAGAGGAATTTTGTTTCTTACTGCCAAATACATACGAAGGCAGGAAAGATAAGTTTACTTTTTGAAACATTAACCCCAAGGTACAGCATGCAGAGATGGGCAGCTGGTGGTAAACAGAGAAGTAAAGGGCTTAGGAGAGACTTTACGACCAGAGATAAAGATAGGGGCGTGTCACTTCTAGTTTCCAAACCCTTCTACTTCTCTCAATTTCTTAGCCAGTCCTATTTTTCTCCTCCCCCTTGCCAGGTGTTATGAAGAATGTGAAATGCCATTAAGTGAGCCATGTGAAAACAATTGGAATAACCCTGCCCAGCCAGTATCACAGGAGCATGATGAGGACCAAATGTCAGAGGGCTTAGAAAGGAGGAAAGATAGCCTGGGCAACACACCGAGATCTCATCTCTACACATCATTAAAAAAAGTAGCTGGGCCTGGTAGTGCATACCTGTGGTCCCAGCTACTCCAAAGGTTAAGGCGGGAGGACTGCCGGAGCCTGGAAGGTCAAGGCTGCAGTGAGCCCTGATTGCATCACTGCACTCCAGCCTGGGTGATAGAGTGAGACCCCATGTCATCAAAAAAAAAAAAAAAAAAAAAGAAAGAAAGAAAAGAAAAAAGAAGAACTACAGGTATAGAAGGTTGCATCCTCATCTGCTGTGTTAAGTAGGCAGAGAAAAGACACCCTAAGGAAAGTAGGAACACCTCCAGGAGCAGGGCTGGAGAAATGGTTGTACACCGAGTGTCCTCTGTGTGCTTCCACTCTGCTTGGAACTTGGCAGGCATTCTCTATTCTTAATGCTCAAAACAGCACCATGAGAAAGTATCATTATTATTTCCATTTTGCAGATGAGGATACAGAGACAGTGCTACCAGGGTAGGTAGCACTGGGGCTAATCACAGTTCTCCCCAACTCTACTCACACTTCCACAGTTGTAGACATGTGGACTGGCTGCAATTAGCAGCTTCCTGTTGGAAGGGGTAGTGGAGAGCTCATGGCTTACTCCGTGCACCTGGAGCCAATCACAGGCAAGCTCTAGGAATCAGCAAGCACCCATGAGTGGGAAGGAGGGGAATGAAGCCACTTTACAAATGGATTTCCACTTTCTGAATCGTAGTTCAATCCAGGAAGACCAAGGCAATGCATTTCACACGTAGGACATGCCCTTCCACCTTCTTCGTCGCCACCCCAAACAAGAGTCAGTGGGCCCTTACACTGGGAGATCTTGAGGCACCGAGGCTATGGGGCTGGAGGTGGGGTCCAAGGTTGAAGAGAGGGAAAGAGAGCAGAAAGGACAGCCCAGAGCCAAAGCCCATTTGCAGGAGCTCCTCATCAAAGCTGCTGCTCTTCTCTGCGCTCATAGGGCTGCTGGGACCTTGCAGGCCTGAGTCAGAGGTTATTGCCCAGTCCCCTGAGCTCTCATGCTGAGGGTGGCTAGGTCCTGTGCTGAGGCAGTAACAGCCCACTTCGAAAAAATAGCTAGAAACCCTTTGACTGCTCTAAATCTCATTTGTACTCATTTACAAAAAGGAGAGAATAATGCCCACCTTTCTGAACTGCTGTGTGGGCAAAACGAGCTGATGGTGTAAATGGTTTGTGAAAACTACATCCTTTCTTGTCTATTGCCCAATTATTCTTTCTGTGCAAGCTGACAGTCTCTCTTTTCAATGAACTACGTTTAAGGCATTGCATTTGCTTGTTAGTGGCTGGAGACAATAGGTAATCTGAGTTATGGATGCACGGATTGCCTGGGTGGGATGGCTGTGAAATGCTCTAGGACAGGAGTTCTTAACCCCCAGGCCACATACCAGTACTGGTTCATGGCCTGTTAGGAACCAAGCCACACAGCAGGAGGTGAGCAGCAGGTGAGCGAGCGAAGCTTCATCTATATTTATAGTCACTTCCCATCACTGGCATTACCACCTGAGCTCCGCCTCCTGTCAGATCAGTGAGCATTAGATGCTCATAGGAGCGCAAACCCTATTGTGAACTGTGTATGTGAAGGATCTAGCTTGCGCACTCCTTCTGAGAATCTGATGCCTGATGATCTGTCACTGTCTCCCATCACCCCAAGATGGGACTGTCTAGTTGCAGAAAAATAAGCTCAGGGCCCTCACTGATTCTATGTTATGGTGAGTTGTATGATTATTTCATTATATATTAGAATATAATAATAGAAATAAAGTGCACAATAAATGGGATGTGCTTGACTCATCCCCAAACCATCCCCCCGACCCCAGTCCTCGGAAAAACTGTTTTCCATGAAATCAGTCTCTGGTGTCGAAAAGATTGGGAACCACTGTTCTAGGGGATGCTGTGACCTCCGTATCACATCTTACCTATGACCATCTCAGCACCAAATCCTACATGTGGTTCTCTAAGTCTACCGTTTTCCTTTGTTCTGCTGTAATCCATATATTGAAATATTACACTATGTAAAACCCAGTGTAGGAACATGGAGGAAATGTTTACCAAAACAACTGGAATATAAAGCAAATGCGTACCTCCCCCTAACGGGAGAGTCAAGTTAAAGCAACAACTACAAAATTCAAAACTCAAACTCCACCAAGGGATACTCTATAGAACATTATTCACTGAATAAATTTCATCTTTGTGACTACTGCCAATCACCTTGAAGAGTTTATCACAGAGAAATCCTCTTTTTCCTTAAAAATGTACACTTGAAACATGTACACTATCATTCTAAAACTTCACTTTTACAGTACAAAGATCAGGACATGTAATCTTCATCTTTTACCAAATATCTTTATCACTGGATAAAAATATATTCCCTTCCAGGAAAACAAAAAGTTTCAAATTAGAAATACATCTAAACATATGAAACTTTATCAAGAAGAAATAGAGAAGAATGTTATTTGGCTTTAAACGGTCTTAAAGTTGGTATCCCCACCTCTGTTTCAATACTCTTTGGTCAATTAGTCCATTATCAAAGTTTTCAGCTGGATAGAAAGATGGCATTCGCTCCCCATGGCTGGCTGGACTAGAGGACTCTTCATCCCTGTAACGAAGAACGAAGAGGTGGGTCAGGCACTATTCAACAGGTGACATGACCATTGATCTCACAGCAGTTCAGAGGGTAGCACCAGCCCAGAGTAAATATCATGGTCTGTGTCCACTTCCAAGTTCCACATTAGACTCATGAGTAAGAGAACGGAAAGAAGGCCCCTCTGGCGTCATTTAATTAATTGGTTCTACGTGCCAGGAGGCAGACTGCTGCCAGTTCATAATGCTGTTTTCACCGATCTATCCTATTTTGAAATGGCATTAAGACAATATTTTCCAGCCGGGCGTGGTGGCTCACACCTGTAAATCCCAGCACTTTGGGAGGCTGAGGCAGGCGGATCACGAGGTCAGGAGATCGAGACTATCCTGGATAACACGGTGAAACCCCGAGTCTACTAAAAATACAAAAAATTAGCCAGGCGTGGTGGCAGGCGCCTGTAGTCCCAGCTACTCGGGAGGCTGAGGCAGGAGAATGGCATAAACCCGGGAGGCGGAGCTTGCAGTGAGTCGAGATCTCACCACTGCACTCCAGCCTGGGCTACAGAGCAAGACCCCATCTCAAAAAAAAAAAAAAAAAAGACAATATTTTCCTTTATGAAATGATGGTGATTGTAGAATGTTTCTTTTTTAGCTAATATTCTTGTCTGGCAAAATTAAATGGTAAACTCTCAGATCCCTACTCTGCTTTCTGCCACTTTGGGAGACATTTTATTATCTGTGAAACCTCATGATCTTAGAAACACACTCTACTAACTCCCTCATTTTCCAAGTAAAGCAACTGAAGCCTAGAAGGCAAAGCAACTCCTGGTGAGCTACTCAGTAGCAGTGCCAGGATTTGAACTCAGTTTTTCACCTTCCTGACCAATGATTTTTCTACCAGTTTCAACAAGAACAACAACCAAAAAGCAACTGCAAATATGCCCGCCTATTTCATATCCCCATCATTTGCTGAGGTATCAACAAGATGCTAAATATCCTGCCCAGAAGTGGCCTACAAATCCTTTTTAAAATAACGTGCCAGGCCGGGTATGGTGGCTCACATCTGTAATCCCAGCATTTTGGGAGGCCAAGGCAGGTGGATCACCTTACGTCAGGATTTTGAGGCCAGCCTGGCCAAGATGACAAAGCCCTGTCTCCACTTAAAACACAAAAATCAGCTGGACGTGGTGGCAGGCACCTGTAATCTCAGCTACTCGGGAGACTGAGGCAGGAGAATCACTTGAACCTGGGAGGTGGAGGTTGCAGTGAGCTGAGATCGTGCCATTGCACTGTAGCCTGGGCAACAAGAGTGAAACTCCATTAAAAAAAAAAAAAAAAGCCAGGTGTAAACCAAAAATAAAATTCTAAGGCCCCCAACCATTTGAATGGACCCCTCCTCTCAGCTAAAGGCACTCCAAAATTAACCTGAAAAACTAGTTCAGGCCATGATGGGAAGGGAAGTTTGGACATGCTTCATTATACCCTCCTCCCTTTTAGAATTCAGGAAAAGTTGACCAGCATTAACATCAACACAGACATTAAGTCTAATAAGAAACATTTATGGGCCGGGCATGGTAGATCATGCCTATAATCCCAGCATTTTGGGAGGCCGAGGCAGGTGGACCACGAGGTCAGGAGATCAAGACCATCCTGGCTAACACAGTGAAACCCTATCTCTACTAAAAATACAAAAAATTAGCCAGGCGTGGTGGCTGGCGCCTATAGCCCAGCTACTCAGGAGGCTGAGGCAGGAGAATCGCTTGAACCTGGGAGGCAGAGGTTGCAGTCAGCCGAGACAGCACCACTGCATTCCAGCCTGGAAGACAAAGCAAGACTCCATTTCAAACAAAAAAGAGATACATTTATGATCTATTCTCTCTGAAGCCTGCTACCTGGAGGCTTCATCTGCATGAGAAAACCTTAGTCTCCACAACCCCTTATAACCCAGACATTTCTATTGATAATAACTCTTTCAATCAATTGCCAATCAGAATTTTTTTTTTTTTTTGAGACGGAGTCTTGCTTTGTCACCCAGGCTGGAGTGCAGTGGCCGGATCTCGGCTCACTGCAACCTTTGCCTCCTGGGTTCACGCCATTCTCCTGCCTCAGCCTCCTGAGTAGCTGGGATTACAGGTGCCCGCCACCACGCCCAGCTAATTTTAGTAGAGACGGGGTTTCACCGTGTTAGCCAGGATGGTCTCAATCTCCTGACCTCGTGATTCGCCTGCCTCTGCCTCCCAAAGTGCTGGGATTACAGGCGTGAGCCACCACCCCTGGCTTTTTTTTTTTTGAGACAGAGTCTCGCTCTGTCACTCAGGCTGGAGTACAATGATATGATCTCGGCTCACTGCAAACTCTGCCTCCCAGGTTCAAGCAATTCTCCTGCCTCAGCCTCCTGAGTAGCTGGGATTACAGACACCCACCACCATGCCTGGCTAATTTTTGTATTTTTAGTAGAGACGGGGTTTCACCATGTTGGTCAGGCTGGTCTCGAACTCCTGACCTCAAGTGATCTGCCCGCCTTGGTCTCCCAAAGTGCTGAGATTACAGGCGTGACCCACTGCACTGAGCTGCCAATCAGAAAAATTTTAAATCCACCTGTGATCTGGAAGCCCCAGCTTTGAGTTGTTCTGCGCTTCCAGTTCAAACAAATGTAAATCTTACACTGACTAATGTGTTATGTCTCCCTAAAATGTATAAAAGCAAGCTGTACCTGACTACATTGGGCACATGTCATCAGGACCTTCTGAAGCCGTGTCATGGATGCATCCTTAACCTTGGCAAAATAAACTTTCTAAATTGATTGAGACCTGTCTCAGAGACTTTTGGGTTCACACAGGCAACCACTAGCCATTAATGGGAATCTACTCAAACGGAAACCTATCAGCTATCTCAGATCTAGAATGCCATCACAGACTCTTTAGAAGGGACCTAAAGTATCACTTATTCTACCTACTTCATTTTACAATTGAAGAAGCTAAAACTAAAAGGGGTCAGACAAATTTCCAAGGCTGGATGAAGGGCTAATATCATGACAGGGGGTTGAAATCAGGTGTCTTGATAGCTAGCTTCAGGGTTCTGCTGTACACCAAGTCTCCTATCTTTATTAAACACTCTCTAAGGGGGTTTAATTACACAGCGTATTCTCATACCTCTTTCTACTATCATTCTCACTTGATGATTGTCAAGTGACAACATAGTTAATAAATATATTTGACAATAAGCAAATACAACCAACAAGCATTTTAATCAAATATAAAGCAGTAAGTTTTCTCTTCTCACATGCAATTGTAATTCTGCACCAGAAGAATTTAATCTAAATACAAGACAAACAAATCCCTAAGGTAAGTCAGCTGCTTGTGGGTAGAGTGCAAAGTCCCCACTCATAAATCCCCAGACAAACAGTGGTCCCAGTCTTGGCCATGTTTGAAACTAGCTTTCTTAACCCGGTTAACAAAGTTTCATATTTAACACAGGACTATTTTAGTCTAGGAGAAAAAGGACAGATTTGCTCAAAGATTGTGATACTCCTAACATCAGTGTGAATTAAAGAGGAGGTAAGTACCATATTACTTTTCACAATGTACAGATGAAGAAGCAGGAATGCCAACATTTAATATAATCAATCCAAGTCAGTGGTAGAACGAGGAAGGAAGCCCAGGTTTCCTGGCAGTCCAGCCAGTTCTCTTTTGCTTGAGAACATTACAAACTGATTTGCAGTGGAAACAGACTGCCTGTTTTCTTCTAAGCTGTGCCTAAGGCAATATCAAGATTCCACTCAATGGAAGGGAACTTCCAGCTCAAAAGTCCTACTCATCCCAAAATACAAGGAAATTACCCTGATCTCTCTTTCAGGTTCCTACCCTTCCCTTGCTGGGAAGGAGTAAAAGCTTGCAATGGGAACTTCATCAAAACTTACATGTTCAAGAGTGTCCTCTTTTACACAGATATGCCAAAACAATGTTTAGAAATCCTTCAAATAGGGCCGGGCGCGGTGGCTCAAGCCTGTAATCCCAGCACTTTGGGAGGCCGAGACGGGCGGATCACGAGGTCAGGAGATCGAGACCATCCTGGCTAACCCGGTGAAACCCCGTCTCTACTAAAAAGTACAAAAAACCAGCCGGGCGAGGTGGCGGGCGCCTGTAGTCCCAGCTACTCAGGAGGCTGAGGCAGGAGAATGGCGTAAACCCGGGAGGCGGAGCTTGTAGTGAGCTGAGATCTGGCCACTGCACTCCAGCCTGGGCGACAGAGCGAGACTCCGTCTCAAAAAAAAAAAAAAAAAAAAAAAAAAAAAAAAAAAAAAAAGAAATCCTTTAAATAAATCAGCTGGGGGCCGGGCGAAGCAGCTCTTGCCTGTAATCCCAGCGCTTTAGGAGGCTGAGGTGGGAGGATGGCTTGAGGCCAGGAGTTGGAGACCAACCTGGGCAACATAGTGAGACCACCATTTGTTTAAAAAAATAAAAATAGATTAGCCAGGCATGGTGTTGAGTGCCTGTAATCCCAACTACTTGGGAGGAGGAAGCAGGAGGATTGCTTGAGCCCAGGAATTCGAAGCTGCTGTGAGCTATGATCCTGCCACAGCATTCCAGCCTGGGGGTCAGACTGAGATCCATCTCCAAAAAAACCAAAAAGCTTTTTTTTTAAAAAAAAATCAATTAGTAGAATTTCCAGTCCAGCTCTATACCATCCCTTCAAGGCTACCTATTCCCCTCCATGTCCCAAATATTCAAATATTCTAGAAATAAACTTGCTTATGTCAGGTCTCTACCATTATATTACTTATCAAGGAGAAAGAGAGAAATCTTTATTATTACCAATCTAATCTCAAAAAATTAAAGTAAAAACATAGAATAGATTTTATCAATCATCAAAATCTTTAAAATTTATTTAATCTTAGAAACCTTACAAAAAAATCTTGAAAATGGAAAAATCAAATCAGAATGGCTGAAATGATCCCAGGGCATAGATGGATGTGTAAAATGAAAATTTCAGCCTTATAAATCCTGTTATCATTTCTTTCCATTGCAGAAGTCAGTGATTAAAAAACAAACAGATAAAACCATCCCCAAACTTCAGAGCTTTTATCTGCCACCACTACTTTTTCTACATGATTTTTTGGGGTGTTTCATAGTATTCATTATTATAAGGATACTCTTAAAAAATTAGAAAACTCATGTGACAATAATGTGTTTAGCAAATTACATCGTAAAGGCAACTAGAGGAGAGTATAAGTTCATTACTCTAAGAAATCCTAGGAAAATAAATAACTAGATTAATAAATAAACAGTTTTGGGAAAAGCAAAGGAGCAATCAAGATGCCTTTTCCAAAGCCTGATCTTAAAACCAGAGCTTCAGGATCCGTTTCTCCTTCTGTTACATGTCTATTTCACCTGCTTGTTCCACAGCATTTTACATAGAAACTCCTTGCTAATAGGACTTCCCTAATGATTGGAATCAGTGTTTAAAAAATGGTGTATAAGAAAGTTTCTTGACTCTTAAAATTTTACAACGTCCTTTGCTCAAATATTAGAAATACTGTACATACAGTCTAGCAGAAAATGATCACAATTTTCAAAGGGCTTTAAACCCAAACGTCATGCTCTAGACACCATTGGGAAAACTTGGGAAAAAAAAAAAATTAAGGCCATTTATGAACATACTCACTCTCGGGCTGCTTCTGTTTGCATGACCAGGGCTGCCTCTTTGGGGTTTTCTGGGGACTTCAGTCCTTGAGTGTTCTGCTTGTATTTTTTAATTAAATCCATCAGAACAGCCTGGTGCCCAATTTTCTTTACCAGTTGCTGAACCATCCGATCATTAAGTGCGAGAAGAGCGGCCCCACTTACTTCTTCCTCTGGGAAAAAGAAAAAAAATTAGTTTCTACATGGCTTTCTGGCAAAACACAGGCATTCTGAAGAGGCAAAATTCCCTCTAGTGATAAAAGGATCATCTAAACTTGTCCCCTGCCATTATAAATGTATCCATATTTTTGACAAAAACAGAACTCCAATGTTGCATAATTCCAAATCAATGCCTGGTCCTAAGAAAGCACCAGAACATGGAATCACAATAAAAAACTTATTATTTCCACATTAACACCCTCCCCATTCTAGTTCTCTCTAACTGGTATTGTTTTTATAAAGAAAAAAACCTTAGGAAATTATTCTTCGTAATACCTCCTAGCCGGTATTGAACCTTATAAACCCAACACTACAAAAAGTACATACTGTATTACTTAAGAACAAAAGCAATATTAAATGCATATATCAAATATGTATTTTAAATGACCCGTAAAACTTTATTTTATTTGAGTTCTTGAAACACTATATTCTCCTGTGGATGTTACTTTCAAGTGGAAACTCTGCTACAGTCCATAAAGAAATGTAAAGTTCTCTACTGCAGCAACCCCACATCCACATTTACATGCACACAGACATTTGGCAACAAAAGTAATTTTCAGTAAGAGAGGACATCAGAATATCTAGGTTGCTCAATTAAAATTTTTGGAAAGTATAAACAACTCACCTTGAAACCTATGAACTAGCTCGCCTAAATTTTTCTCCACCAACCAACTGCAGACCTGCTCAACTGACCAAGTTTCCATTGCTGTCTCCTGTAAATACACCTGTAGAGCAAAAGGTCAGAGAATTCTCCAGCTTTTCTTTCTGATTGTGCCTTAATTTTTTTTAATAGCCCCTTCCTTTGCTAGACTCCTTTATACTCTCAATGTTAAGCTTTTAAAAAATTACGATTTTTACAATGTACATTTAAAAATTGCTAACAAAACACACACTCACTTTAAAAATAAGACCTGATTTAAAACTATTTCCTAGTATCTCATTTCTCAGATTTCTTCACCTTCTCCTACTTTTTTTCCACAGGCATCCTAAGCTTTACTAACAGACAGCCAGAGACACACAATGGTACCCAATCCTGTACCATTAACACCCAGGTTTCTTCACAAAGAAAAGAAAGGTGTGAAATTCACCAGTACCAGGCTCCTCAGGAAGTGGTTGACATTTACAGAAGGGGGGGGCAGGGGAGGAAGGGAGGAAGGATCAGATAAAAGCCTGACAGAGATACTTAGTAAACCAAGACTGGTTAACCCCTTGCTTCTCCTAGCTAGGAGAAGGAGATTGTAACTTACTGCTTCTCATTGTTTTCCTTTAGCAAGAGGAGGAAGTAGGACCCAAATATCTCAGGAGAATCTGAATGTTTCTGTCCTTCCTTCCAATACTACTCTTACATATCCCTCTGAGTTCTAGAACTCTATTGGACACTGTTATGATTGGTGAGATAACTAGGATAAACTACCACTCTGACTGAAAATTTTTTACTTAATTGGGCATATTCAAAATTGGAAAATAATTAAATATGTTAATAATTATTGTGAAAGAAGCGTAGGCAAAGTTTGCAAGATACATTCTTTAACTATTTCAGTTATTTTTGCATGCCGCTTGTCTCCAACCACTTAGAAAACTTAAAGCTATTTCCCTAAGGAAGCTTATTTCTGGTTTTTGTAATTAAATCCAAAAGACTTCTGATGGACTTGGAGGCGGGGTGGGTGGGGTGGGAACTGAAATAAATTTAAAACATTTTAACCTTTTATCATTACTTGTCAATTTGAAATCTCAATCTAAATGATATAGATTTACTTGTACATTAAGATACTGACTATTCTATAAAGACCAAGGAAAAAGCTACTCTTGGAGAAATGGAATCATAAGGAAAGATAAAAATGTTTATTAGTCGTGAATTTAAATTTTATTGATGGAAGTTTTAAATAGAACTATTGTTGTATTTTTCATTTTTGTATATTTAAATAAGTTACAATTACGAACATTATAGTTAAAATAGTGGAAAAGGGGAAAGATGTTTACCTTGCATATGTGACAAGCTGGAAAGATAGTCTTCAAGAATCATTTCCTAGAAAACAGGTAGACTTCAAAGTATTAAGCCTCATACTCATAAGTATTCACAAACACCAACTTGAAAAATTGAAAACAAGGGTTAAATATAGAAGAACATCTTTCTGAATTTCAGCAGTGGATTTAATTTGCTATGACAAACAGTAGCCATAGAACTCCTCCCCTAGGCTAAGCAGCAATAGCAGGGTGTGAAAAGTCATTATTTGCGAGACTCTGGTGTAAATTAAAAATCACACCTTTCTGTCACACTTCTGGCTTCCTTGCGAAGATTAGGACTTAGGGAAAAAATAGAAAATAAAGAAAAAATAAAACAATTCTCTAAGCTCTACGATAAAAAGGTATGCAGAGCAGAAGATACTGCCTTATAGTCATCTATGCATAAAAGGAAATTTGAAAATAAAATGAGTACTTGGAAATGGTCACGTATTTTTAAATTTGCAGATTTTTACCACAATTCTACTTCTGGGAAAAAGAAAACAGGTTAAATTATAACGTCATACAAACATAATAACATTAAAAAGCATATAGTTTTTGCCCAGTAGTTTTTCTGGAGAGTTTATAAAACGGTATCACTGACTAAACAATGTAACATCTTTTGAGTAGTAACGTTACAACTTCTTCTCACATAAATTATGGATATGTTATTTATGATCTTCTACACCATGAAGGCATAAACTATATATCAAATGAGAAAAGATATATCTGGTAGCTTTATTCTGAGCTTCAGAAACATCTGAAAATATTTCAAAATGTGAAGGCAAGCATTAACCCTAAATAGTTGAAGGCACAATAATTTTTAAGAAGAATTAATAATTAAAAATTAATAATTTTTAAGAAGAATTATGTATGAATGCTCCTGCTAAACCATTCCATTATTTGATTGAATTAAAAATCAAGAAAATAAATTTGTATTAAATATTACAGGGCTTCATCTAACTAAAGCCAAGAAGAGGTAAGACTTTAGCTAAAGCAGCCTGAATATGGGTAAGCTTTATTTAATAAATTTGTTAAAACTACAAAGGAAGATTATAGGGTCATCTGCTGTGAATGTGATTTATAATCTTCAAGGGGCAATCTAACATAAAAACATCAAGCACCAAAGAGCACTTTTTAAGAAACTATGAACACTTTTTGTCATCTTTCTTTCTATTTGCATTTTTAGTTTTATTCCTCTGAAGTCCAAAAGCTGAGACAATAAAAGATTCCTAAAAGTTTTGCTGGCAGCATATGCCGTCTCCTGGATCAGTACCTCATTCTGCCCTGAGAAAAAGTATCTCCTACCGTGGCTGAACTTGAAGGGACGAAACATTTATCAAAAATCAGTTCCAGGCTGCGCGTGTATAAAAGAAGGAAAATTGAGGTACAAAAATAAGGATGTGGCTGTCACATACAACAATGTTGGGGCAATTCTCTTGGGTAGCAGCCTTGCTACCATGGGAGGTGATAGTGTTGTAGGACTCTCTCTTTAGTTCAGCTAAGAGTTGGGTTCTTGTCACACAGCCATGAAACATAAGGCTCACATTCACTTTGAAGGGTGAGAAAAAAGGAATTTATTGGGCGAAAAGGAAAATAAGGGGAAACTGGCTCTCAGCAGAGCGAGAGTCCTGCTAGTATATGCTTCTCATCTCACAGATTGAATTCCAAGTTCCCACACCAGGATAAGAGAGGCCAGGTCCTCCTTGCTGCAAACTGCGTGAACTTCCGTGGCTCCATGCCATTCTCTTAGTGCGCAGGCTGGTTGGAGGTTCTCCAGGGACCTCTTTGTACTCCGGTGTCTCAATAGCAGCATGATGTTCCAATGGAACATAACATCTCATCCACTATGGCCTGATGATGTTCTTCCAACCATCGCCAGACCACATGAAATAAACACTGAAATATTCAACTCAAATACTTTGCATATGTTAGTCACCAAGATGTTTACTGACTAGATAGCTAGCCCAAAGTGGGGTGGATGATGATACACTAAAGAAGTTAGAAGCCTTACTAAGAAGATAAGATACATAGATAAGCAGAATATGATATACAGCCAATTATGATGGATGCTTTAGAAAGCACCCTGGGGCTGGATTTTCCCACAGTGTCCTGGAAGCAAATGGATCTTGATTTGGAATCTAAATAATGGACATAGTTTAGATAGCAAAAAAACTGGAGAAAGCAGGACCAATGTAATGAACTCAAAGTAAAAAACCAGAAATAAATGAGTCATGTTTTGGAACCTCAGGGAGGACCACGCTGCTTGGAATAGGCACCACATGGTAGGGAACCACAGGAGACAGGGTCTGAAGATTGCAGAAAGGCTTAGAATGTTAAGAGTTTATAGATATGCCTAAGCTTGGGAGAGTCATTGAACTGAGAGTATGTTCCATGCTTTGGAAAGATTATTTAGGCAGCTGAGTCAAATAAATGACAGAAAAGCATTCTTTCTTGAAGCAAATTGTGTATGAGATGGAAGGCCTTAGCCTTTACTAAACATTCATACATGCACCAATTTTCCTTCGTTTTTGAAAACATAGATATTTATATTAATGTTTTAAACATTTAAGGAACAAAACTATTAATTTTTTTCATACATCCTGGTCTGAAAGGGAGTGACATCTATAAAGCTTGCAGACACCAAGCAGGTGACACACACCAAAAGGGGCTGTCTGTATCCATTATGCTAAAGCATATGAAACAGTCATTTTTTTAATTATAAGGATTTATTTTTATTTTATTTTTTTAAAATTTTTATTCCCATAGGTTATTGGGGAACAAGTGGTGTTTGGTTACATGCGTAAGTTCTTTAGTGGTAATTTGTGAGATTTTGGTGCATACATCACTGGAGCAGTATTCACTGCACCCAATTTGTAGTCTTTTATCCCTCACCCTTTTCCCCACCTTTTCCTGAGTCCCCAAAAGTCCCCAAAGTCCACTGTGTCATTCCTATGCCTTTTCATCCTTACAACTTAACTCCCACTTATGAGTGAGAGCATATGATATTTGGTTTTCCATTCCCAAGTTACTTCACTTAGAATAATAGTCTCCAATATCATCCAGGTCACTGCAAATGCCATTAATTCATTCCTTTTTGTGGTTGAGTAGTATTCCATCATATATATACCGCAGTTTCTTTATCCACTTGTTGATTGATGGGGATTTGGGTTGGTCCCACATTTTTGCAATTGAGAATTCTGCTGAAACAGCCATTTTTGTACATATAAGAATTCAAGATCAGTAATTTCCTATGGCTTAAGTTATTAAAATCTTACTTTTATAAAGATTAGTGTCTCTGTTGGTTCTTTTTATCTAGCAAGACTTACCAGAGTTGTCTGTAATTCACAACACCTCCAATAAATTTGAAGGAAAAAGTGGTGAGCACAGTCATAGTAACTTAAGTTTCATATTTTTCTTTTTTTTTCTTTTTCTTTCTTTCTTCTTTTTTTTTTTTTTGAGATGGAGTCTCGCTCCGTCACCCAGGTTGAAGTGTGGAATGCAGTGGCACAATCTCAGCTCATTGCAACCTCCACCTCCCGGATTCAAGCCATTCTTTTGCCTTAGCCTCCTGAGTAGCTGAGATTACAGGCGTGCCACCATGCTGGGCTAATTTTTGTGTTTTTAGTAGAAACGGGGTTTCACCATGTTGGCCAGGCGGATCTCGAACTGCTGAACTTGTGATCTGCCTGCCTCGGTCCCCCAAAGTGCTGGGATTACAGGCGTGAGCCACCGTGCCCAGCCAATTTTCGTATTTTCAAAGAAACTAAACAGCCACTTATCTGGGGGGTTTAGTTAAATTAATGAACAAAAATAGCAATGAGCCAGAGTCCCAGAACTCTGGAACCTTTGAGTCACAAACGCCCTGGTGTTTTGGCCTTTGAGTCAAACTTATGGTTTATCCCTGCTTCTGCCTCATTGACAGCCAAAGCTTATGGTTCAGCAACACAGATAACAATCCTAGGGGGTTTTGCCAGAGATGGTAACTGTGAACTGTGCTATTGAATTTTATCAAAAGCTGGATGTGTGACTGAGAAGTCCTGATAGTTTGAAGATGTCATTTA